GAGTGTGCAGGAGGCAGCTGATGGATGTTTCTCTCTCATCGATGTTTCTAGCTCTCTATCCCTCTCCCTTCCTCTCTGTAAAAAATCAATAAAGTATATTAAAAAAATAAATAAAATAAAATTTAAAAAGGATTTTCCTAAAAAAAAAAATCAATGGAAAAAATACCTTGAGAGAGGATTACAAAAAAATTTTTAAAGAATAACTACCATTATCTTACCTAAAATTAACATAATTATTTAATATCACCAACTAATGTCTAAATATCTAATCATCTCTTAAATGTCATAATTTTCAAAATTAGTTTGTTGAATTAGGAACCAAATATGTTCAACATATGGCAATGGGATGATGTCTCTTTAAGTCTCTTTTATGGGTTCCTTCTTCTCTTTCTGTCTCTGTCTTTCTCTGTGTCTCTGTTTCTCCTCTCTGTTCTGTCTCTCTCATTTTCATTCTCCTTACAAGTTATTTGTTGAAGAATCTGAGTCATTTGTCCTATAGAGCTTCCCTTAGCCTGGATTTTGCTGATTATATTCCCTAAGTGGTTTTGACATGTTTCTGTCTCCTAGAATTTCTTTATTTTTAAATATACATATTTTTTTATTTTTGATTGTTTGGTTAATCCTCACCCAAGAATACTTTTCCTCCATTTATTTTTAGAGAGTGGAAGGGAGGGGGAGCGATAGATAGAAACATCGATCCGCTGCCTCCTGCTCTGCCCCCACCGGGGATCGAGCCCGCAACCCCGGGCATGTGCCTGGACCAGGAATGGAATCAGCGACTTCTTGGTGCATGGGTCAATGCTCAACCACTGAGCCACACCGTCCGGGTCCAAAGTGGTTATTTTAATTCTGTCATTCTTTATTTATTAGCCAGAACGTCTCCTTAAAGAAAACCTTCCTCTCTTCTGCTCTTTGGTTAACCAGTGATACAGTTCATATCACAGAAAGTTGCTTGATTTTTGTCTCTGCCTTTATTTGCCAGCTGTCATCTTAATAAAATAGTTCCCTAATATCCGCCCAGGTAGCCAATGAATTTTTTGTTGTTGTTATTTTAGTATCATTATGAACTCATAGATTTACACACATGCTTCAGTCCACTGCATTTTTAATCTTTATACGTGCTCAAATTATTCTATCTTTTGCTGATGGGAGCCTCTTGAAGTTGGCTTCTGAGTCCTTTAAACACAGTTCTGCTAGATTTTTTAAAAAATGTATTTGTATTGATTTCAGAGAGAAGGGGAGAGGGAGAGAGAGATAAAAACATCAGTGATGAGAGAGAATTATTGATTGGCTGCCTCCTGCACACCCCCCTACTGAGGATCGAGCCCAAAACCCGGGCATGTGCCCTTGGACTGGAATTGAACCCGGAACCCTTCTGTCCCCAGGTCAATGCTCTATCCACTGAGCCAAACCGGCCAGGGCTGTTAAGATTTTTTTGAGGGGAGAGAAGGGGCAGTTCTTTTTGTCCCCACTAGGGATATACAAATTACTGTATTTTAGTCACTTGGAAAAGTTCCACTCTGTGTGGTTATGCCACTATATGGACATACATATTTATGTTCCTTTGTTTCATTTTGTTTTTTTTTAATTATTAGGAATTTCTTTTTAAATTTTAATTTAATTGTAGGATTATGTAAAATATTTACATAGTTCCAAAGTCAAATCTCCCAAACAAAGATATAATCAACTAATTCTAGCTTCTATCTCTGCCCCTCTTGCCACCTATAGATAATCTTTTCTTTTTTAAGATTTTTTAAAATATTTTTTTTATTGATTTCAGAGAGGAAGGAAGAGGAAGACAGAGATAGAAACATCAGTGATGAGAGAGAATTATTGATCGGTACCTCCTGCATGCCTCATACTGGGGATCCAGACCAACCTGGGGAAATGCCCTGACCAGGAATCATACCGTGACCTCCTGGTTCATAGGTCAATGCTCCAGCTGGGCAATAATCTTTTCTTTTTAAAAATGTCTTGCCCTGGCCGGGTAGCTCAGTTGGTTAGTGTTGTCCTGATATGCCAAGGTTAAGAGTTTGATCCCTGGTCAGGGCACATACAAGAATCAACCAATGAGTCCTAACCGCTTTGGCTCAGTGGATAGAGCGTCGATCTGCGGACTGAAGGGTCCCAGGTTCGATTCCAGTCAAGGGCATGTACCTTGGTTGCAGGCACATCCCCAGTAGGGGTTATGCAGGAGGCAGCTGATCGATGTTTCTCTCTCATCGATGTTTCTAACTCTCTATCCCTCTCCCTTCCTCTCTGTAAAAAATCAATAAAATATATTTTTTAAAAAAGAATCAACCACTGAATGCATAAATGGGAACAACAAATCATCGATGTTTCTCTCTCTCTCTCTCTCTCCCTCCCTCTCTCTCAAAAATAAATAAAAATTCCATGGACACAGTGAAGTGCAGTGAAGGCCTGGAGAGGAGGCGGAAGTGGAGTGGAGGTGGCCAATGGGGAGTCAAAGGGGGACATCTGTAATACTTTCAACAATAAAGACACAGTCCTGGCCAGTGTACTCAGTGGTTAGAGTGTTGGCCTGCAAACCAAAGGGTTGCAGTTTCGATTCCCTGTTAAGGGCATGTACCTGGGTTGCAGATTCCATCCCATACCTGGTCAGGGTGCGGGAGGCAACCAATCGATGTGTCTCTCTCACATCAATGTTTGTCTCTCCCCCCCACATCCACTCTCTCTAAAAAACAATGGAAAAAATGTCCTTGGTGAGAATTAACTAACTAACTAAGTAAATAAATATATTTAAAAATAAATAAAAAAAAATAAAACAAATTATCTTCTCCCCTAGGCTGTAAGCTCATGTGGACAGGGACCATATTTTGGTTGTCTTTTTACCTCAGTGTTTAGTGCAGTGCCTGGCACATTTCCTCCCTCATTATTTCATTTTGCCTTTGAGATCGCTGTGTCTTTGTTATTGTGTTTTTCCTTGTTGATCTTTGTTCTCAGTCCATCCTTGTCCCCTCTCCTCAGCCAGGGCTGGCTGAGGGCCACCATCCTCTGTCCATTTTTCCTACAGACTGTGTACAGTGCCCTGGGCCTGAGGGATGCCTGTCGCTCCCTGCCCCAGTCCATCCAGCTCTTCCGGGACATTGCCCAAGAGTTCTCTGATGACTTGCACCACATCGCCAGCCTCATTGGCAAAGTGGTGAGTAGAAGGGAACTAGAGGCAGGAGATACGCTGTGGAAGATGGGGAAGCCTGGGAGACAGTGAGGTCAGCTGAATGACCAACAAGTGGAATGGTGAAAGGAGGTGGCAGAACATCGGAAATGTGCTTGGAGGGCTAGGGTTAAATCAGGGACTGCAGGGGGAATTGGAGCCCAGCTAGAGGTGAGCAACAGGACAGAAAGATGGTGCTGGCCGATAAGCAACTGGACTTCTTGCCTCCTCAGGTGGACTTTGAGGGCAGTCTTGCTGCAAATCGCTTCACAGTCCTCCCCAACATAGATCCTGAAATTGATGAGAGTGAGTATTGGGTGGGGATCGGCCTGTGAGCCCTGAAACACAAGCCTGCACAGTGATGAGGTGCCATCCTTGGTACTCGGCCACTACAACTGGGGATAATCATGGCAACCAGGGCAGGAACCTTACTCTCGATATCCTCCTAGAAAAACGAAGGCTGGCGGGACTTCCCAGTTTCCTCACTGAGGTCGCCCGGAAGGAGCTGGAGAATCTGGACTGCCGCATTCCTTCATGCAGCGTCATCTACATCCCTCTGGTGAGCGCAGGAGGCTGGGTGTGACCTCTGGGGGCTTTTGGAGGTAGCAGGCGTATGGAGGACACATTGGTAGATAAGAAAACTTCTGGAGAAGTTTGAAGAACATGAACACCTTGTGGTGGCTCTAGCCCCTGAGGGAAGCACGGGATCTGGGGAGAGAAAGTGCCCAGGACATCACGCTCTGCTTTATCTCCTCTTTATGCTCTCCAGATCGGCTTCCTTCTTTCTATTCCCCGCCTGCCTTCCATGGTGGAGGCCAGTGACTTTGAGATTGAGGGACTGGACTTCATGGTAAGACCCTTGACCTCTGTAGGGAGGTGATAAGGAAAATGAATCAGCAGCTGTCCAGAGGCCTAGCCCTATCAGCACTGCCCAATATGGGACCTCTCTTCTGTAGTTTTACTTTGACCTTTATTAGCTCTGAGATGGAGGAGAAAGGAGTTGGGTGGGGGCCTGCAGACGGGGTTATAAATGTGGGAGGGGACGAGGACCAAAAGATGCAGAGCCCACAGCTTGAACCCTCTGACCCAGTTCCTCTCAGAGGAGAAGCTGCACTATCGCAGTGCTCGAACCAAGGAGCTGGACGCATTGCTGGGGGACCTGCACTGCGACATCCGTGGTGAGGAGAAGCCAAAGGCTGGGAGTGGGCGGATTCGAGATGACTCCAACAGGCTCCTTTTCTCCCTGCTCTCTCTTCACTCTGACTCTCCATCTTCTCTGAACGCCTCTGGGTGTCTCACACGGTATCTGCAAGCCTGTCTCTAGGTCCCTCTGCTGGCTTGTCTCTCCTTCATATCCCCCCCCCCCCCCCGGCCCCCCCCCCCCCCCCCCCCCCCCCCCCCCAGCTGACCCCCAGCTCCTCCCTCACCTACCATCAGACCAGGAGACCCTGCTGATGTACCAGCTGCAGTGCCAGGTGCTGGCTCGGGCGGCTGTCTTGACCCGGGTATTGGACCTTGCTTCCCGCCTGGACGTCCTGCTGGCTCTTGCCAGTGCTGCCCGGGACTATGGCTACTCAAGGCCCCGCTACTCTCCCCGGCTCTTTGGGGTACGAATCCAGAACGGCAGGTGAGAACAGAAGGGGGTGGAGGCATAGACACGAGGGGCCTAAAAGCCCCATATTCTGGGGGTCCACCCATCTGGGCAATGTGTGAGGCACCTCTCCACCCACTGCAGACATCCTCTGATGGAACTCTGTGCCCGAACCTTTGTGCCCAACTCCGCAGAATGTGGTGGGGACAAAGGGAGGGTCAGAGTCATCACTGGACCCAACTCTTCAGGGAAGAGCATATACCTCAAACAGGTAGGAGACTCCTACACACTGGCCTCTGGTATCTTCATCTCCTCCCCCACCTGCTAGCCAACCCCGGTCCCTGCAGCTCTTCTCCTGCTGTGTTCTGACCCTGCCTGTCATGCAGACACTATAACCCACACCCTGTTCCTCACTTTCACTTGAGGGAGAGTCATGCCCTAATAGAGCTTTCCATGGCCTCAGTTCCCTTCCCTTACCTCTGAATAGGGCCATGCCACTCCCCAGTGTGCCTCTGCCCACTCCCTGTCCCTCTCTACTGAGTGGAAGGGGCTACGATCACCTATTAAACTATGTGCCTCTCTCCTTGATCTATCATTCACCCCTCAGTTTAGCCTCACCTTCACCTCAGCCATCCCACCAGGCCCAGACTCTGTCCCCTTCCCTGCTTAGGTAGGCTTGATCACATTCATGGCCTTGGTGGGCAGCTTTGTGCCAGCAGAGGAAGCCGAAATCGGGGCAGTAGACGCCATCTTCACCCGTATTCATAGCTGCGAATCCATCTCCCTTGGCCTCTCCACTTTCATGATCGACCTCAACCAGGTCAAAGGGAGTAAAGAGAGGTGGGATTGGGATGGGGGGAAATGGGGAAGGAACTCTACCCCTGAAAAATGATCAGGAAAAACATTCCCTCTGCTGCCTGCCCTCTACACTAGGGAACCTCTTTTTTGGGGGGGGGCGGGCGGTGTTAATCCTCACCCAAGGATATTTTTTCCATTGATTTTTAGAACAGAAGGGAGGGAGCACGGGGGAGAGAAATAGAGAAACATGACACATGAACTGGTTGCCTTCCACATGTGCCCCGACCAGGGATGGGATTGAACCTGCAACCCAGGTACATGCCCTTGACCAGGAATTGAACCCGTGACCCTTCAATGTGAGGGCCAATGCTTTAACCACTGAGCAACACTGGCCAGAGCCAAGGAGCCTCTTTTGAATCCTGGCTTTGTATGTGGCATTGTTGGCCATGAAAGGGTGAACAAAGCATGCACCTCACCATTAAAGACTTCCCCGTCCATTGGAGTGGACACAAGCAGCTTTATTCATGGCAGACTGTGGTCAGCGTTACAGGCCTCAGATGCTAATGCAACTCTCTGTCCACCTGGTACCCAGCAGGTGGCAAAAGCAGTGAACAATGCCACCGAGCGGTCTCTGGTCCTTATTGATGAATTTGGAAAGGGAACCAACACGGTGAGGGGAAATCTGATGAGGAACTAAGGAGAAATGGAGGAGGGCAAAGGAGCAGGAGGGGAGGTTGGGCTTCAGGAAAAAGAATAGGTGTGGGGGCCGAAAAGAAACAGAAGAGTGCAAGATGGAAAAGGCCAGGGCAGGTGGGGGGACATGGGGCACCCGTGGTTCTGCACCCTTACCCTGTCCTCTGCACAGGTAGATGGGCTCGCACTGCTGGCTGCTGTCCTCCGACACTGGCTGGCTCTCGGACCCACATGCCCCCACATCTTTGTGGCCACCAACTTTCTGAGCCTCGTTCAGCTACCCTTGTTGCCACAGGGGCCCCTTGTGCAGTATTTGGTGAGGGAACTAATCTAGTCCCCCCGGGGTCCCTAAGCCAAGTGTTTCCCAGAGCTGGAGACTGGCTCCTTCCTCAGAACAGGGGCTCCCTGAACACAGGGACCATGTCCCTTCCCTGTCCTCACTCCCCTTAGGGATTGGCTATGGGTTTCAGGGTGGGACGCTGAGTGACAATGACACACTGTCCCTTTTTATTCTTTTTTAAGACCATGGAGACCTGTGAGGATGGGAATGACCTTGTCTTCTTCTATCGGGTTTGCGAAGGTGTGGCCAACGCCAGCCATGCCTCCCACACAGCTGCCCAAGCCAGGCTTCCTGACAAGCTCATAGCTCGTGGCAAGGAGGTGATGAGATCCATGTCAGCCCCATCCATCAGGGCTCCCTTCCACTGTTCCTGCTCCTCTCGGGGCCTGGGTTCCTGGGCCCATGGCATTTCTGACCTTATTTTCTCTTTTCTTACCCAATTCCCCCACCCCTGCCTCCTCCTCCTTGTTCCTAGGTCTCGGACTTGATCCGCAGTGGTAAGCCCATCAAGCCTCTCAAGGAGCTGCTGAAGGAGAAGCAAATGGAAAAGTGAGTGGGTAGCCCAGGGTCCTGTTCTAGCATATTCTGCAGCTCTTTCCCCTTCAGGGACTCAGAAGGCCTTTTTGCCTTTCAGTGACTCAGTTTCCCAGTTTCTTTCTGAAATCCCTAAATTTCCAAGGTCCAGGTTTCCTCTGCACAACCTCTCCCCCCTGCTCAGGATCAGTTAGCCATCCTCTCATTTGGCTCTCTGCTCTCTCCCTTCAGTTGCCAGACATTAGTAGATAAGTTTCTGAAACTGGATTTGGAAGATCCCAACCTGGACCTGGACATTTTCATGCGTCAGGAAGTGCTCCCTGCAGCTACCACCATCCTCTGAGCGTCCTTCGTCGGCCCTCCTCCCCTTCCCACACCCTGTGGGCTGCCCTGCCCTTTTTGTTTCTTTAGACACAGAGTTCTCAGTTTCCTCAGAAATCTTGTTTCACATTAGGAATACAGTTTATTTTGGAGAAAGTTGTTTCCTTAGACCAGCCAGAACAAAGCAAGAGACTAGAAAAGAGATGAAACACCAAGTAGGAGTCCACAGAGGGACCTGCCCTGCCTCATTAGGGGGGCGGGGGGATAAATGGTGATGGAAGGAGACTTGAATTGGGGTGGCGAACACATACAATACCCAGATGTTGCATGATAGACTTGTACACCTGACACCTGCATAATTTTATTAACCAATGTCAGCTCAATTAATTCAATCAAAAATGACAGTGAAAGCCCGAACTGGTTTGGCTCAGTGGATAGAGCGTCAGCCTGCGGACTCAAGCGTCCCTTTGATTCCGCCGGTCAAGGGCATGTACCTTGGTTGTGGGCACATCCCCAGTGGGGGGTGTGCAGGAGGCAGCTGATCGATGTTTCTAACTCTCTATCCCTCTCCCTTCCTCTCTGTAAAAAATCAATAAAATATATTAAAAAAATAATCGATATTACTTGCCCTAACTGGTTTGGCTCAGTGGATAGAACGTCGGCCTGCGGACTGAAGGGTCCCGGGTTTGATTCCCATCAAGGGCATGTACCTTGGTTGCAGGCACATCCCCAGTAGGGGGGTGTGCAGGAGGCAGCTGATCGATGTTTCTAACTCACTGTCCCTCTCCCTTCCTCTCTGTAAAAAATCAATAAAATGTATTTTAAAAAAAATGACAGTGACATTTCTGTGGGAAGACGGGGGATTCTACCCAGGGGGACTTTATGAGAACCGACTTCAGACCCTGCAAAACAGAGGAGCCTAAGGGAGGTCTTTCCCAGCCTCAGACACACAGCAGGAAGAGCTCTGAGGCTGAAAGACTAGGTAGGAGGCTGCAAGGAGCAGGGAGAGAGGGGAGGGGCCAGCCCTGGTCGCCAGTGGGTGTGGCTCCACCCTTCCCACCTCAGTCCTGAGGAGCCAGGGTCCTGCCCCTGCTGCAGGCCCCTTCCAGTTCTGCTGGGGACAAGCCACCAAGACCCAGCAGCCTGGCCTAGCTGGTCTGGCTCAGTGGATAGAGTTCAGTGGATAGAGCATCAGTCTGCGGACTGAAGGGTCCCGGGTTCGATTCTGGTCAAGGGCACATGCCCGGGTTTGATCCCCAGTAGGAGGCATGCAGGAGGCAGGTGATCAATGATTCTCATCACTGATGTTTCTCTCTCTCTCTCTCCCTTCCTCTCTGAAACCAATAAAAATATATTTAAAAACAAACAAAAACCCAGTGGCCTGAAGCTTCTTCCTCTGGGTGAGTACTAGTCCACCAAGAGGCCCCAGGGGAAGCCCCTCTTCCCAGATCTGCCCTCTACATTTCCACTCAATTTGGGACTCATAAGTCTTCCCCACTGCGTTCCCTTGCCCTGGTGGACAGTCTGGGCTTGATTCAGTGACCAGACAGAACCCAAGCAGGGGCTCCTGGAAAGGCCATGGCCCAGAGCCCTAATGTGGAGTAAGCCTCTGCTGCTTGCATTTTTCAGCTGCAGAGGAGGCAGGCTCTGGAGCAGGAACAGTCTGCTCTCTGCAGGGGCTGCAGGGGCTGGAGCTGCGGGAGCACGGCCAGGCCTGGTTTGAGGGCCCGCTGAGAGGCACAGCAACAGCAGCTACGTGTGGGGCCTGTGGTGAGCGGGGGGCAGCCCCAGGTGTGTGGGGAAGGGGACAGGGACCACATGTGGACACAGCCTGACCCTGCCCTGGAAAGGAGACAATGGCCAGAAATGATGAATTAGGAGCAGCATTGCAATGACAGGATGCCACCACCAAGTGTTAGGGTGGCATTCATTGTTGGCACTGGAGGAGGTGGGTCTGCATTCTATTCAGAGGGATGGACTGGATCACCACTGAGGTGGGAGAGTGGCCTGCATCACCCCAATGGGTCAGGGACGGACAAGGAGGGTTCATAAAGAATAGGGAGGTCAGAAAAAGACGGGAGCCAGAGAGAAAGGTACCTGGGCTCACCTGACGCGCCAGCCTGCTCCACCCAGAGAAGCACACGTTGTGAGAACCATTGGAATCGAGCCTGAGCTGCTGGGGCCCATTCCCTATGAATTCATGGAATGATAAGTGGAAAAAAATAAAAAAGACTTCTGTGCTGATAAAAATGTTTCTCTTAATTGAGTGGAAGTGTGGTGTCCCTTTCCCCCAAAGAATAATTACAAAAAACTTTGTGTCCTAAAAATAAAAATAAAAAAAAAATAGGGAGCCCTGTGCCCTAGCTGATGTGGCTCAGTGGATAGAGCGTTGGCCTGCGGACCAAAGGGTCCCGGGTTCGATTCCAATCAAGGGCAAGTACCTTGGTTGCAGGCTCCTCCCCGGCCTGGGCCCTGGTCGGGGTACATGCAGGAGGCAACCAATCGTGTTTCTCTCACTTCGATATTTCTCTCTGTCTTTCCTTCTCTCTTCCACTCTCTCTGAAAATCAATGGAAAAATATCCTCGGGTGAGGATTAAAAAAAAAAAAAATAGGGAGTCCTGGCCAGCGTGGCTCAGTATTTAGAATGTCAACCCATGCACAGAAGGGCCGCAGGTTTGATTCCTGGTCAAGGGCACATACTGGGTTGCAGGTTCGATCCCTAGCCCTGGTCGGGGCATGTGCAGGAGGCAACCAATCGATGTGCCTCTCTCTTACATCAATGTTTCTCTCTCCTCTGTCTCTTTCCCTCTCTCTCCCTTCTTTCTGAAAAAGCAATGGAAAAAATATCCTTGGCTGAGGGTTAACAACAACAACAAAACAACTTTAAAAAAGAATAGGGAAAGAGGGTGATGTGCTACTTGAGGGGACGGAGGTACTGGCCTGTTGAAGAGATGGAGTGGAGAGTACTGGGTTTCCCACCTGTCGGGAGGGGTACTGGGATGAGGGCTCCACATGGGAAAGCATGGCCTGTGGTGATAGGAGAGTGGCAGATGGACCTCGAGTTCTCACACTGTCAGCCTGCAGCTCCCCCTATAGAGTTTTCTAACATTCACACTCAGAGCCCGGTAGTCCGAAGTTAGCCCAGAGTCAAAAGGTGAACATCTGTTTGAGACTCTGACTCCGGGGAAGGTGTTTATTGTTTTCAGCTGAGGCTTTTGAGAGGCTGGGGTAGAGAGATTTGGGTCAACACTGGTTTAACGGAGAACATCGAATATCCCCCTGTTCGCCCCACGTCTTTGAACATGCCAGTTCCTGTGCCATCCAGGGCGGGAAGGGAAGGCCAAGGAAGCAGGGCTTGTGGCAGCGGCAGGTAAACGGGAGGGCACAAGGGAGGAGGGCCGAGCACAGATGCCCAGAACTCTCTCCAGGGGCTGTCAATGCAGCAGAAAGAGGAGATGGCTCAGCCAGGCTTCCCCAAGGGTGGAGGGGCCATACCAGTGTCTAAGGCCTCCCCTCAGTCCCCTCAGTTGGGACAGAACCTCCTATTCTGCCTCTTGACTCCACAGCGAAGGAGCTCCAGGTGGTGGGCCAACTGCAGTCCACACATCAGGCGTGAAGCGCCTTCTCTGCTCCTGAAAGCCTCCATTTCCCCTTCCTGCGTTCCATGCCCTCACGCTCCTATATGCTGTGCATACATGATCTTTGAAATCCCTCTGGGGAGAAGACATGTTTATTGAAACTGTCCTTCAAATTTAAATACAAAAATAAAATAGAAGCTTCTCCAGAATTTCAAATAAAAGCAATTCTATAAATAACACTTTCTAGTACCCTCCTACCCCAGTCTTAGGTTTGCTTCCCACGAGGGTTAGGGAAAGTGCATTGTGGGAAAATCGATTACCCTTTATCCCAATCTTGCTAAGAGAAGGGACAAGTGCATGAGAAGGAAAACCTCCAGCCCCGCTGGGAGAGTAGGGTCCCGAGGCCCACGCCATCCCTCACCCACCGGGAGGGATTGGAAAGAGCGCTGGAGGCCCATCCTTTAGGGGCTGCTGTCACCAGGAGGCCAGGCCTAGAAGGAGCAGCACCCCGGCGACTGTGCCCCACCAGGGGTTGCCTGCCAGCCCTCCCCCCGCCCTGCCCCGAGTCACCACAGGGGAGGGAGGAAGGGTGGGGCTGGCCGTGGTGAAGACCGGGCCAGACGAGTGGGCAGGGACGGCGAGCTGGTCCTGGGGAGAAGAGGGGAAGTCCGTCTGGGTGTCTACACCCAAGTTAAGCCCCCCTTGCCCTGCCTACCCTGCGGTGGAGAGGGGGGCCGTCACCTGTGGGTCCGGGCCCAGCACAAGGAGCCGGAGGAAGGCGTGGGTCGGGGGCACTGGTCTGGCTTCTCGGCCCATCGCAGCCACAGTCACCGTCACCACGGAGTCCAGGGCAGCCGACTCCGGGACCTCCAGCCACAGGCGCCCCCAGGCGGACTCGTTGTGCTCCAGGCGAACCCTGCGGAGCGGGTAGAAACAGCCAGGCTCCCGAGAGCCCAGCGTGGGGGGCGAAGCCAAGCGCTGGCGGAAGGGGAGGTGGGAGCCTGAGGGCCAATCAGAGGGGCCGGAGGCGGGGCCTAGAGAACGGGTACCAGAGCCCCGCGCGAGAAAAGGGCGGGGCCGGGAGAAGCGGAGGCTCGGGCTGCACCTGGAGAGGTTGGAGGTGAGCGCGAAGCTGGAGTTGACCCACGTCCTGAGGTCGAGATCCCGAGGCCCCGAGAAGCTGGCGATGCGAAGGCTGAGGGGGGCCTTGCTGCCCGGGGCCAGGAACCCCGCCGGGCCACTGAGCTG